CACTTCTTCAGCAGCCAAACCCAGGAGGAGAGGGAAGGTATCATAGCGGCTGAGCTGGATCAGTGTAGAGCCTCGCCAGCCCCTCTGCCATTTCACAGACTGCAGAGAACTTGCTAAGGCTGTACAGTGGTATTAGAGGGAGACTGAAACCTGGGTCCCCTGACTTCTCATGCTGTGCTCCCTGCATTAGAAAAAGTAACCTCTGTGGAGAGGGAGTTTGGGTGTATCTCAGGGTCTATCTTATTTGAGGAGAAAGGAATTCTCTCTAAAGGAATGAATTCTCTACAGGAATGAATTTAAGCAAGCTATTCAACATGCCCAAGTCTCTGTTTATTCATGAAGAGCTTTTTGAAGATAATCTTTAGGTCTTCTTCTAACTGTAAAAGTTTAGTAATTTGAGAGCCAACAAAACTCAAGTGCTTAAGAGAGCCAGGAAAATAAGGACCAATGCATTAGATGTGCAGATGGGGACAATGGGAAACTAGAGGCACATGACCTTAGCAAAGAGATACTGACTTCCAGTCCATTGTCAGGGGCCCAGTAAAGAGGGTGTGGAACACTCCAAGGCTCTGCTTGCCAGTCTATGGCCCCTTCCTTATCCTTTAACCCTCACTTCAAATCCTGTGGGAGAAAGGGCACACACTCATTCATTGTTTCTGGGCACTATATCAGTTTGGGCTCCCTTCCCCCAGAAGCAAATGTTGAGAAAAGGATTCAGTGTAAGTCATTTACTGAGGGGATAAGGAAACATTAGCAGTGAAGTTGGTAAGTACAACAGGAAAGGAAAGGCAGTCAGTCAAGGGTTAATCACCAAGTAAATTCTCACTGTGGAAACTAGAGCTTAATCCTGCTGAGGACATCTGGGAGACTGTGTAGGTGTGCCTCAGAGCTACTCCATCCAAGGGTGAGAGAGCTGGGGTATTTATACACCAAATCCCATCACTTTTTCAATGTTGCTTCTGGGGATCATGGATATTAATTTCCTGAAATTTCTACTCTGCTTTGTACTGAGGTTGCACGCAACAGGGGTCAGAGAAAGTCCCCAAGCAAAGAGTTGCAGGTGGTGGCATTTGGAGGTGGAAATAGTAAAATGGGGAAGCCTCCTGAAGATGTGGGTGGGACACCAACATTTGCACTGTAGTGCTATTCACCCTCCTTACACCACCTCCATTATTGCCCTGTGTGAATTTAGGCACAGTGTTGTCAGATACTTGGATTTTTTTTCAAGGGAGACAGGTATCTGAACTTTTATGTGAAATCACCTAATTCTTAAAGTGTGGCAACCAATTTATAGTAAAAAGAAAGACCATAAAGATCATTTGTAAATATCCCTTTTCAATAGATGCTTTGGGTTTTAGAGGTCATGGGTTTGAATTCCATTCTAGCCAATGAATTTGATCAAGTTAATC